TTCACTCATGTGACATCTCAGATTGGTGGTGGTGGGGAAAGGGTGGGGGTAGAGATGGAACAAAATTGACAAAATGAGCCATGAGTTGCTCGTTGTTGACGTTGGGCAGTGGATGCCTGGGAGTGACTTTTGTGTATATTTGAAATTTTCTATTACAGAAGATTTTAAAAATGTAGTTGTGTAGCAAATTTAAATAATATTAACATATAATATATGCACATTTGTGTGTTATACATTTATATACTTTATAGATTATATAATATTCTGTTTAAGTAAATGATATATATAGTACCCATATAATGTGTACATATCTCTTCCACGCGTGCCCTCTCCAGTTGGCCAGCACCTCTCCCCTCCACTGCCCCACACGCCATCGCTGTCCACCAGCATCTCTACAGGAGCCTCCACGCTCATCCTGCTGCTCCATCCTTGCCCCTACCAGCAAGGTTCTCCTCACAGCAGCCACGGTGACTTTGTTAACATGTGAGCTAGACCACATTACTCCATCCCACGTAGGGTGAAGCCCAGTCCCGGCCTCTGAGGCCCTGCTGGGCTCCTGCTGCCCTTGACGCGGCTTCTGCTCCAGCCCGCCGGCCACCCATGAGTGCTGAGAAGGGCAACCCCAGCTCGCTCTTGCTCAAGACCTTAACACCTGCAGTTCCCTTTCCCTGGATAACTTTGCCCCCATCTGTGCATGGCTGTCCCCTTCCCTTGTTTCATCCAGATCTCTGTTCTCAAGGGGAGGATTTCTCCAACCTCCCGCATAATACAGTGCCCTCCCTGCCGTGCAGCCCCGATTGCTCTTGACCTCGGTGGTGGTTATTACTGCCCGACACACTGGGTATTCTCTTGTTGGCTTACTCTGTCCCCCTGCTAGAAGCAACCTTGGTTTGGTTAGTGGCACCGAGGCAAGGCATCAATCCATACTTGCTGAATGAATGAGTAGAGCTCCATTTCCACGGAGCCAATGAGACTAGGCTGAAGTAACAACACTAGAAGTCAGGGACACAGCTGGGGCTTGAAGGTAGAGGTGGTTTCACCCTGAGCCCCCAGCTGTATGTGCTGCCTGTGTTGCTGAGAGGGGAGGGAATGGGACCCAGAGCACAGACACATGGAGGGCCCCATCCAAGGGCACAGGAACCGAGGGCAGAGGGAGCCGCGGCAGGCAGGCAGTGGCGTAGACTCCAGCTTTGTGGAGCTGTGTGGAAGCGGCTCTGTAGGCTGCTGGCTTCTCTTGCCTTTCAGAAGCAGGTGGAATGTCCTTCTCCCAAGAGAGGCAGAGCTGCTGAGGAGGCTGCAGGAATGCTCCATTTGTCTCCATAGTGTGGATGTCACTTCAGCCTCAGAGCTAGACAGGCGGCCCACCCTTTCCCTTCCCACTCCCACTGGCTCCTGTACCCTGGCAGTCCAGGGCCTGGCGAAGGCCTCCAAGAAGACAGCACCTTCCTGTCTTTGGCAGTGCAGGATCTGATGGGTCCAAGAGCATCCAGCCCATGGGAGGAGCAATGCCAGGCCTGCCTGGCTGAGGGGCTGCCTTGCAGGCCTTGTAGACTCCCCTCCTCACCCGAGAGGGCCGGCTCTCCAGGGAGGACTTAGGCTAGTCTGAGGGGTGCTGGTGCTGGTCCAGCCTCCGCACCGGCCTGTCTCAGTCTGCTCCCTCCGTGGAGCAGACATCACATTCATGTTCTTTTTGCTTTTTTAAAAATGAAATTTGTCTCCCATTGGAAAAATGAATGCATGCTAATTATAGAAAATATGTGAAACAGATCAGAAGAAAGAAGAGTAAATAAAAATTGCTTTTTCCAATGTGGCATCACCACAGCTGGCCCAGGGCTGTGGTCTGGGGAGGGAGTCGTGGACAGTGTGGTCAACAGGCCATCGGGCTGCGGGTCTCCAGGTGACACCATGGCTGACTGGAGCCTTCCTCACTTGAGAGGTTGGGGGAGTGGTGTCCAGCCCCCACACACTTGTCCATAGTGATGCAGACAAGGGAGCTGATGAGAGTTGCTATATTTAATTTTGGTGCCTGCGTCACCTCTGACCACAGAGCAGCATCTGCCCAGGCACGCAGCACACGGCTGGGGGTGTTTCTGAATGATGCTGTGAGAGAATCACTTTCTACGAGAAAAGGTACTGTGGAGGGGAAGGGAGAGACAGCAACAGAAAGTGAGGTCGTAAGTAGAAAATTGCTTCTGGGATTTCAAATGGCTTTGTCATGGGGCCCTCCCTTGCTGCCGAGAAATCAGTTGATCTGGGAAAGTTTGTTGCAAACCCTTGCCCTCTTGCTTTTGGGTGGAGCTGAGAACCGAATGAAGATAATGGGGCTTTGTGAGTGTGGGGGGACAGCTGTGGAGACAGCCAGCAGTTCTGACCCCAGCTTGGACCCCCAGAAAGGCTAGAGAGGAGCCAGCCAGCATGTCCCCAGCCAGGCTGTCCTGTCTGGAATGCAGTCAGGCTGCCCCGGCCGGGCCTTCTTAGAAGGGAAGCAGGCGAGGCTGGGAACAGGTTTGGAGTGTGTTACCGTGGGCCAGCTAGATGAAGGTCATAAACGGAAGACATTTCCCTTTGACCATAATGAAAAGGTGTTACGTCTCTGGGCCAGGAGAAGGCCAGGCTTCAAGTGCTGCCCTGGTCACAAGGAAATAAGATTCTGGCCTGGTCCTCCTAGGCCAGCCTCGGAGAAACCTGCCAAGTGACTGGGAACATTTTCTGACAATTCATTTGCGCAGCAAACTGAGGTGTTTGGTGCGGAGTTCACCGGAAACTTGTGTGTGTCTCACTTCTCACAAAAGCCCCAGCCCCTCTTCCAGTGAAACCTCTTGGGCTGGGGTTCCTGGGGTGCCAAGGGGCTCCCCGCCCTGGGCCCCATGGCCAGTGTCTTCCTCCTACTCACCAAGCATTCTTCTCCCTTCTCAACCCCCTTCTCTCTGAGCCCTGATAAGGGCTTGCCTTGTGGATGAAAGAACTCAGGCCACATGGTTAGAGAAAAGTCCCAGCAAACACCGCTGGGGGTCAGTCCCCAGGGAGCCAGCTTCCCAGCCACTGTCACAATTGCTGACACTTAACCCTACCTTGTTCTCTCTTCCTTTCTCATTCCTGACTGGGTCCCCTCCCTGTGGCCACCAGCTGCAGCTCAGTTATGTGACTCTGTGAGGCGTCCCTCATCCCTGGAGGGCCCCACACCCTCTCCAGCTCAGGGCACACTGCCAATGACCACAGGTCCCCTACCTGGAAGGTGTGAGGGACAGGAGCTGTGGAGTGGCTGAGGACGTGGTGAGCTGCAGACCCCTAGTGGCGGGGCCTGGGACGGCCATCCGCACTGTGCACCTGCCTCGCAGGCTGTCCTGAATGTGTGGCTCAGAGCCCGGCCTTGGAGGATCCCGAGGAACCCTGCCCCACATCAGCCTCAATTCCAGTCTTTGTTTTCGAGGGAGTCACGTGGAATTCCACTGGAAGGGTTTCCATCTTCTTTCTAGATAGGTAGGGCAATGCTTTGGTTGGACAGAGAGGACGTGGGTCAAAGATGATGCTACTAGGGGATGGATTGCTGGGTCCTGTTGACAAAGTCATGCTCTCCATAAATATCCTTTCGGCCTTCAACCCTAGGCCCTGGATGGAGAAGAAAGACCCTGACTCCCACCGCCTTCCCTGGCTTCCGAGACTCTCCCGTCCTCCATGGAGGCCAGCCACTGCTCACCTCCAGAGGGTGGCCCTCCCGAGGGAGGACAAACAACCCCCCGCCCGCTCTACACACAGACCCTCTGTTGTTTCTACAGAGTTCTTTCTGGGGCTAACCCTTGAGAGCATGTGGTATCTTGGTTGTCACTAGCCCAGGTGTCTGCTGCAGTGGCCCCCACAGGTATTCCCTCAGCAAATGTGGCGGGACTTCATAGGCTTGGCACCAGAGAGCCAGTCCTGTCCCCTGCCGGGACAGCCTGCTGGAGACCCAGCTCCTGTACCACCACCCTCTTCACCGCCACAGTCTTCTTTTCCCTGGGCCAAGTGTCCCCTGCCCCTGCACTGTCGGGTTCACCTTCTTCCCTCACCTCTCCATGGGGAAAGTGAGTGGTTCTGGAGTAGCTAGCCACCGTCTTCAGCCCCTTGGCCGACTCCCTGCCATGTCCTCTGCTGTTACACGAATGACACAGCCATGAACAGTGGAGGGCGGCTGCCTTCAGGGACTTCTGAGCATCCCTGTCGTGCTCCCATGGGGCTCTGGGCTCCCCAGAGAGGGCGCCTGCCTGTCATTCCAAGTTTGAGACTGGTCCCTGCTGACCCACCACCCACTTCAAAGGCATCCCATCCTGGAGTCACCCTCTGCCCCGGGCATCTCCCAGACAGTCACAGTGGAAAGCGTTGCTGATGGGCATGGCCTGGAACTGTGGCTTGGTAAGGCCCACTGGTCCCTGCACTCCAGCTGCTGGCCAGGGCCAAGGGGAGGCAACAAGAGCTGCTGAGGAGTGGCCTAGTCAGAGCCCCGTTCACAGAGGCGGCACCAGTGTGCACCCTAATGGCGAGAGCTATCCAGAAATGCAATGGGTTGCCCCTCAAAAATAGGTAGTGAGCTCCCCGTCAGTGAGAGGGCCCAGACAGTTGATGACAGTCTTACAGAGGGAAAAACTGCATTCAGGCCAGGGAACATTTGGACAGAAATAGGCAGGGTGGTTAAGCGTGTGGGCTTTGGAGTTGGAGCCAGTTTGGGGTCATAATCTCGGCATTGCTCCTTTACCTCAGATGAGGCTCTGAGGCCCCAGGACCCCAGTGAGGAAGTAGCTACGTGACCTTAGGCAAACCGCCCACGGTCTCTGAGACTCACAGTCCTCATCGGCCTCCCGGGTTGTGAGGGAGACATAAATGTGTGGGTGGTGCCAGGCCAGTCCTCAGGAGCTGTGATCGTGAGACTTCCTGGGTCCCCACCTGCTCCTGATGCCCTCCTTGAACCCTGACAGCCTGCCCAAGCCTCCCCGTCCTCGCTGGCACAGCAGACAGAGGTAGCACTTCCTCCAGGCCATGTCCCCACCACCAGGAGCTACCTCTGCTCTCAGCCCAGGTCACTACACCCCATCCCCGCTGAAATCCATCCGAGTCCTCTCCTCCAACCTGCCAGCCTCCTGAAGATCCCCTCAGAGTCTTGAGACCACAGACCACCGTCCCCAAAGGCCAAAATGAAAGACATACAATCAGGCCTATTTGTCACCAACTTTATTTCTGGCTTCAGTTTGATAGTCAATGAAACAACTTGTTCAATGTCCCCTCCCCCTAGTGTACACACACCACCCTGGGTGTTGAAGGTACCCTTCTATATATTATTAACTCTTTGCTAACATATGTAATATTTAAATACAAGGGAAAACAATAAATTACTCATTGGCTGAGAGCTGGCTGCTGGCTGGAAGACAGGAGTGGCTGTTCCCCTGCCTCTTCTGACCCTGCCTCGGATGAGGCCCCGGGACCCCAGTGAGGTAGCAGAATTCTGTACACAGTACTTATTACCAGGGACTCCTGGTGCCCACTGCTTTAGTGCTGGGCCCCGAGTCTACAAACCCTTGGTTTCAAGTGCCAACAGCCACAGTCTCTCGATCTCCAACGCGGACAAACACACTCATTTAAATAACACACAATAATAAATAAGACCAAGAATAAATGTGCCTGAGCTGCTGGCTGCCTCAGTTGCCACTGTGTGAAGTGGGTCCCTCTCTTACCACGTCTGGCAAGGGGGGACCCACTGTAATGCTGCAGTGTGCTCTAGGGAAGGGGAGGGTGTAGAGAAACATCATCCCCAGGTCCACTGAGCTCAGGGCCCTGGGCAAGGGGCAGCCTGGGGTTGGCAAGGCTGAAGACAGGCAGCACAGGCTGAGATCTAAGCTAAGGAATTTTACCCCCTCCCTAACCCTCCTCCCCACCTCCCCAAGACATTTGACATCAGAAATAAAAATGAATCTGCAACTTCAATAGTCAGGTCCCATCTCTGCAAGTAATGATGCTTTCGATGTTTCAGTTGAACTTTCCCTGGTGAAAAAGTTTCCTTAAGTGTCTGAGCAGGTCCTTTACAAACTGGGCCACTTCGATTTTGGTGTCTTGGACAAGCAAGCTGGAAAACTGCTGCAGGACAAAGAGGCCAGTGCATGAGTGAGACGCCGGAGACTGGGATGACCCACACAAACTAGGGGCTTTCCCAGGGACTGTCTCATTCAGTCCTCGAGGAAGTCCCCAGGAGGTGGGTACTGTTAGTATCTCTACTGTGGAAATTGAGGCCTAGGTAGGCATCAGGCCCTTGAGCCCAGGTCCTGTAAATCCCAAAGCCATGTCCCTGCTGCCACAATGGCCCCACCCCTGGGTGGACACACACCTTGGATGTTCAGCCAGCTTCCCCTGGGTGAGGCCAGGGTTGGCGGGAAGGGGTGCAGGTTGGGGGGAGCCTTACCCCGGCTGAGACCTTGTGTGGGCAGAATCCGCTCAGCATCCTCTGGGTCTTCTCGATGGCACTGCACCTGGACACGTTGATCAGGGACTCCAGGGCTGCACAGTACTGTGGGAAGGGGACACCCAGGGGTCAGGGCCTGCTTGAGTGGCTACCTTTTGTGAGTTTGCAGGAATATGGGGCTGACATGCCTGGTGCGGGTGAGTCTGGGTGGTGGGAAGGGCCTAGATTATGGGGGAAGGGAGGAGCGTAGTTGAAGCTTCCTTGGAACCCCCAGCCATGGGAGGGAGGCTCAGAGAAGATAAGCCCAAGGCCTGAGGCCTCTGCCCCGTCCTCCCCAGCACCCAAGGGTCCTTACCACGCCAGCTGTCATGTTGATGCTCCACACCATGCTGCCATTGCAGAGGGGGGCCTGCGGGAGGAAAGTGACAGTGAGCAGAGTGCTGGCAGGGGTCATGGGCCTGCCCCGGCAGCCCAGGCCAAGTCTATACCAGCTCAGGCCCCACACGCATCCCTGGTGTGGCACAGAGGCAGGCCTGGCAGCCCCTCAGCGTTCCTGAGCTTCGTTTTCTGCTTTGAACAGTGGGCGTGGGGGCAGGGACCCATTGTATAGGGTCTTGGAGCTGAGAGAAAAAAAATGAGTGACACCACTAGTAAGGGACAAGCTGCATGTGAGGCTTGCCATAGCCAGGGCAGGAGGACAGGGGCCTGTGGGAAGGGTCAGGGTGGGGATGAGTAAAGTAGGGATGGCCTGGGTCACTGTGGACCAGGACATATCAGATGGGAGGTGGTAGGGGTCTGTTACATTAAATGCCCTGCCTTCTGCAGTTAGGAGCATGGGCACTCTGGTGTTGGCCAGGCCTGGCTTAAATCCAGCCTCTGTCACTTAACCTCACGGCACCTTAGCAGAATGAGTTCATTGTACCTGCCTCTTGAAGCGGCTGGCGGTGCTGAAATGACATGTAAAGCATTTGCACCAGGCCTGGCGTAAGCAATGCTCAGACATGTGAGCTGTTACCAGTGGGGCAAGGCTCGGACTCTACTAAAGGATCCTCCTATAAGAGCGAGCATACTACAGTGCTGGGGAACATGGCTGCATCGTTGTGTTCAAAATCCAGTTGGCAAATGCCACATGGTTCTGGGAGGGTGCTGGCCCTTCTCTGCTGTCCTCTGTTCAGGAATGGCTGAGGAGGAGCTGGCAGTGGGAGGCAGGGCCAGGCCAGAACAGGTGGTCCCTCAAGACTCTGCCAAACCCCGTCATAGGTCCATTCACAGTGCTAAACCCCTCTCTCCCTCATGGCTGGGCCGGGTCCTGGTCCATGGGGATTATACCTGACCTACAGGCATCCTAGGACCAGGCCCAGCCTGCTCATGACCCCATCTTGGGAAACACCCACCCTGGAGTCCTTAAAGCTAGGACCCTGGCTGGCTGACACTCACCTTCTGGTTCTGAGTGATGTTGACCAGCTCTTCAATGAGCTCCTTGAGGGCTGTATAGGGAGGCACGGGGCCTGGGGAGGCAAGGCCGCCAAGGCAAGTGAGAGCAATGACCATGGTCAACCAAAGCGCCATGAGGCCCAGTGCCAACAAGGGAGGATTGAGGAGCAGACGCACAGGCTGGTCTAAGCTGGGTGGCTTGTGGCCTTGGCCTCTTGTGGCAGCTTTTATAGGCCCAGTGGTGACGCCTCATAGCCCGGTCTCTGCATTTTTAGGCAGTATCTAGAAACCACATCTTTACTGATCTTGATTTTGCTTTGTGGAAAATCCAGTGTCGCATAAAGGAAAGTGATTTCTCGTGGACTTATTGAGAAGGGTCCAGGGCAGAGTTTCCAAGATCTGGGTGGGTTTAATTCTGGGGAGAGACAAGGGGCCCTGAGAGCAGCTTGGCATCTGCAATGCTGGCCTGAGTTCCAGCAGTTTTGCCTGGGACCACCCTGAGAACCTGGATAGCTGACCCAACTCTGAGCTCCTATCCTCAGACTGTTTTGGGTCACCGGAAGTGCTGGGCAGATAGTCTTCATGCACTGTGGCTGTGACCACAGTCTACCAGCTGTGGGAATTTGGGGGGTTTTATTTTTTCAATGAACCAGTCTCCTAAATTACCTAAGTGATACTTGCTTGGATACAAAATTCAAGCAGGCAATAGAAGAGTGAAGTTCACTTCTTTTGGCTTGCCTAGTTCCTCCTTGGTCCTACTGTGAGAAGGATTGTCAAAGTTCAGATTTCCAGGTCTCCACTGAGAGATCCAGACAGATTCAGAGGTCCTCCTGGGACCTTTTTTTTGGTGTTTTCCATTTGTTTCTTTGTTTTTTGAAGATGGGGTCTCACTATGTTGGCTGCCTAGGCTGGCTTCCAGCTCCCGGACTCAGGCGATCCCTCCACCTCAGCCTCCAGAGTGGCTGGGAGTAGTGTGCACCTGTGTCTGCCCCTTTAATTTAAAGTGCATGGGCCATCCTGCTGGGAAACTCTTAACTGGGCCAGGCTGGCAACCTTAGTCCAGGTCAGAGATTCTAAGTGTTCCTAGTGCCACTGGGACTTGGGGTGATCCCGTTTGCCCACCAGTCTCTGCAGGACCAGCCCCTGCCCTCTGGAAGCCTCCAGTTTCCTTTCTGCAGAATGAGTGCTGTGGAGGGCAGCTCCTGGGCCTGGCCCCTGCAGCCCACCCTGCAGGCATGTGGCCTTTTCCTGCTCTTCCCTTGTTTTTCCTGGAAGTCCTCCAGAAACCCCCACAACACAGGCCACAGCATTTGCCTGCTGAGTGCTGATGTCAAGATCTCTCCCTTACCCACTTCCTTCCCCAGCCAGCGCCTCCCCTTTCAGCTCCCCTCTTTGCCTGCTCAGGCTCCCTCTGTCCTGTCCTCAATGTGGCTCAACCTCCTCACAGGGTGTGCTTGTGACCCTTGTCACAGGGGATGCTGGATGCCCACTCAGGGGCACCCCAGCCTTGACCACCCTCTCTTCCCACACGGAACATCATTCCCACCCTCTCTCTGTCCACACTTGAAGCTTCCCAGCCCAGCTGCTGGCCCTGACTCGCAGAGCCTGCCCCTTCCTTTCGAGGGCACCCATGCTTGGACTGCCACTACTTGGCTGTGTGACCCCTCTGCAGGCCTCAGCTTTCTTATCTGTAGTAGAGAGCCCATGGGATCTCCCATAGGGTTTCTGTGATGGGGGATCCACCTTGGGCTGTGCAACTCCCAGAGCCCGGGTGAGTCAACGCCCCCCTGTTCCCCACGGCCACCAAAAGCCCTGCCAGGAGCGGTGGGCAGGCGCGCCCCCGCGCATGGGAGAAGGCGCTGGCGCGGCGGTTGCGGTGGCGATGGCCCGTGGAGATAGTGGGGCGGCCTTATATAACGCGAGATGGGCCCGATAAGCGGGATCTGCACGGCTGGGGGCCCCCTCCTCCGCGGCCTCCGGCAGTGGCAAAGATAGGCGCGCAGACCCGCCCATCGGGAAGCTGCGGAGGCCGCCGTGGGGGCGGCAAAGGTGGAAGTGGTGGTCCAAGCACCAGGCAGGGCAGGGGCTGGCTGGACACGCGGGCCCACGGCGCCCCGAGCGCCCGTGCGCATCTGAGAGGGGCGGGAGTGGCGAAGGGGCCGAGGCGCGCACTTCAGCTCCAGCACCGGCTGTGCCAGGCCGGAGGATCCCGGGGGCACGACCGAGCAGCAGCCCTTGCCCACAAGGGTGGCCTCCGGGGACCGCAGCGGGCCATGCGGAGAGGCGGGGCCAGCTGGGTACATCAGAGGGTCTGTTGCTTGTTTCTAGATTGTCAACGGGGCTCCACTCACCTGCGGGTAATTGTAATTAACACTTAACTACCAAAGAGCTGCTCCGGGCACTTACCGCACGTGGTTCGCACCTGCCTGCAACGCGCCGCTTGGGCAACCCGCTCAGGGCCGTGGGGAGCCTCCCCACCTCGCTCTGGCCCCGAGGCGCTGGGATTGGGACAGCCCTTCCTGCGGACCAGCTCACCCTGCATGAGGAGTCAGGAAAGCTGAGGTTGCGTTTTCGGGTTTACCCGGACTCTGGGTCTCCTTTGGCAAAGACATGATGCACAGTCAGGAGGAGTAAGGCATGAGAGAGTTGTTTTAGTAAGTGAAACGATTTAACTTTTTAGATTTTTATTTTTAGGAAAGTGACGTATGCAGATACTTTTAAAAATCGAGAAGGTTGATTATGTAAAACCGCAGCGCTGGGAATCCGTGCTCTATAGGTCCCTAGCGTTGCTGCTCCTCTTGTGAGTGAGGCACTGATTGCCCTGCTTTGTCCCTTATGTCTTTTAAAGGCTGTTTATATTGCAAACAGGCTTGGGAGAGATAGCACCTTCCTCCTCGGGTGCACTTACTGCCCATTATAAAACTTAAGATTCCCTGAGCTCATGCTTCCTCTCCTGTAAAGTAACCCACTTGTACAGGCTTCCGCTGGCCCTCTCTGCATCTCCCTGTGAGAACTGGGATTCAGGGAACAAAAATGTTCATGCTCTACTGCTACTGTGCATAATAAACATCTTTGCCTTTGATGCAAGAATCCTGTGTCTTCCACCAGCATCCACGAAACTGTGAAGTGTGGCATGCTGGCTTGTTAGCTTGTAAGTAGGGTAAAAACTCAGAGCTCTCCGTTTTTGACAATCAACCTCCCCCTTTCCAGCCTCTTATCCAGGGAAACCTCTTTATCCCCCTCCATGTTTCTAAATTAAACCTATGTTGCTATTTCTTGATTTTGCAGATTTAGGAGTTGTCTACAGTGAATATTTCATTCTTTCCTTTTTGCTGTCCTTCCTCCACCTGCATCTTTCCTTTCTACTCATCTTACCAATACAGATCATAATTTGGGTCAGTCAAAAGCCTTGTATACCATTTGCCTCATTATACTAATATATTCACAGGTGAGACATGGTTGGTTATGATTATTTTTATTTTTCTTCAAAACATTTTACCTCTGGAGTTAATAATTACCATGTTTTTCCATATTCTTAGTTTTCTATGTTCCTCTCAGCGACTGAACCCTAAACTCTTGACCACGTATATAAAACTACTTTCAAGAAATTTGATGAGTTCTTCTCACAGTTCATCTTCCTAAGCAAGCCAGGAGGTCAGGCCGTCTGGCCTGCTCTGATCTAGCACTGCCCCAACCTGCCACACAGCCGTCATCCCCAGGTCTGTCACCACTGCCCTGGGAACTCCCTTCGCCACTATGCGTGGTTCTCTGAGTTTCTGATCTTCCTTCTTTCTTGGGGAAACACATCCCCTGATAGTTTTCAAATAAAGGCTGTGGAGAAGGTAAATGTTTTGAGAACTTGCATGTCAAAATAGATATTTTACCCTCAAACTGAATTTGATGGTTTGGTTAAATATAGAATTTTAGACAGGAAATACTTTTCTCTCAGAATTATATAGGCGTGTGCCATTGCCTCCTGTCTTCGAGAAGTACAGAAATCTAGAACCACTTTGAAACTAGATCTTTCCTCCTTTTCTGGAAATTTTCTTGGTCCTCACACTCCACATTTTATAACAATGTGCCTTGGTATAGTTCTGTTTTCATCTGCTGTACCAGACACACAGTGGGCCCTTTCAAACTGAAAACATTAAGTTCTGGTAGATTTTCTTTCTTTGAAAAACCTCTGTTATTTTTGCTTTTTGTTGTTGTTGAGACAGAGTCTCGCTCTGTTGTGCAGGCTGGAGTGCAATGGCGCCATTTCAACTCCTTGCAACCTCCATCTCCCGGGTTCAAGTGATTCTCCTGCCTCAGCCTCCTGAATAGCTGGGATTACAGGTGCCCACTACCATGACTGGCTAATGTTTTATATTTTTAGTAAAGACGGGGTTTCTCCATATTGACCAGACTAGTCTCGAACACCTGACCTCATGATCTGCCTGCCTTGGCCTCCCAAAGTGCTGGGATTACATGCGTGAGCCACCACACCTGGCCCTATTTTTACTTTTTATCTTTGAATAAGTATTCCATTCACATGGTGCAAAAATGAAAACTGTATACACTCTTTATTCCTCACTTCTCCCTTCTCACTTCTTTGGGTTGTACATGATATTGTTTCTTGTTTGGTTGTTCAACACAGGAGTTAGGAACACCCAGCTCCCCAAGCCCCTGGCCATGCAGTTGAAAATCCACATACTGTATAACTTTTGACTTCCCTCAAACTTAACTCCTAATAGCCTACCGTTGACTGGGAGCCTTACTGATAAAAGTCCATTAACACGTATTTTGTATATGTATCATATACTGTATTCTTATAGTGATGTAAGCTAAAGAAAAGAAAATGTTGGCCAGGCGCGGTGGCTCATGCCAGTAATCCCAGCACTTTGGGAGACCAAGGCAGGAAGATTATTTGCGGTCAGGAGTTTAGGACCAACCTGGCCTACATAGCAAAACCCCGTCTCTACTAAAAATATGAAAATTAGCCAGATTTGGGAGGCTGAGGCTGGAGAATCACTTGAACCTGGGAGGCAGAGGTTGCAGTGCCAAGATCTTGCCACGGCACTACAGCCTGGGCAACAGAACCAGACTCCATCTCAAAAAAAAGAAAAAAAAATGTTTTTTGTTTTGTTATGAAGTTTCGCTCTTGTCACCCAGGCTGGAGTGCAATGGCATGATCTCAGCACACTGCAACCTCTGCCTCCCAGGTTCAAGTGATTCTCCTGGCTCAGCCTCCCAAGGAGCTGGGATTACAGGCATGTGCCACCACGCCTGGCTAATTTTTATATTTGTAGTAGAGACGGGGTTTCACCATGTTGGCCAGGCTGGTCTCGAACTCCTGACCTCAGGTGATCTTGGCCTCCCAAAGTGCTGGGATTACAGGCATGAGCCACTGTGCCCGGCCAAGAAAATGTTATTAAGAAAATCACAAGGAAGGGGGAAAAACATATTTCCTATTCATTAAGTGGAGGTGGGACATCACAAAGGTCTTCAGCCTCACCATCTTCACATTGAGCAGGCCAAGGAGGAGGAAGTAAAGGAGGGGTCGGTCTTGTCATCTCAGGGTGGCAGAGGCAGGGGAAAAATCTGTGGATAAGTGGATCTGTGCAGTTCAGAACTGTGCTGTTCAAGGGTCAACTGTGTATGTAAAAAATTCAGTGGAATGTCTCCACCTTCCCTCACAAATCACTTTTTCTTAGATGTTTTTGTTTGTTTTTTTGGTATCCTATCAGAGTGTATGTAAATACAAGCAACTGTGGATGTATGGTCTTATTTTCCCTTGTCCCTACAGGTGAGGTGGCATCATATACACTTTTGCACACTGTTTTTTCCCCACTTACAAAAGTAATATATTTTTGTATTCATACTTAGATTGGGACATTTTATGACTTTTCCTTCTCCATTCTCTCTCTT